AAGCTTCTCATAGTTCATGCGGATTGTGACATGTACTTAACCAACTTTAAATTCTGACATGGATTTGGTCAGATGCCGTGGCTCGTCGTAATGTCTGAACTTTCCAAGCAACGTGGCTGGGATGTGTATTAGGGCCAAAAGATTTAATATCACCAAATCAGCACATTGTTATTCATTAGTGGACCAACTGCAGAGTCAATACACATTTAATCACAGACTGAAGGCAATTAAAACGGGAGGGGGGCCACTAGTGCTATGTTAATTAAAGTGCCGGGCTCCCATGGGAAGCTCTGAGTCTAAATATCACTACCATCAAGCCCACGCCATAATCCACGATGAGCTATTGGCGTTCACACCCGCTTGATGTGCTGTCAGATCTGCGTCAGGCTGGGCGAGAGGGCAAACCTGGCCTGCTGATTAAAAAGTTCTGTTTCTGTGTGATGGTCTTTCTAATCCTATAACTGACTCAAGAAACATGGACGCAACCTTTGAGCATTCTGTCCATAACACTCAAATAAACTGATCAACTTTTTAAATCTGATTTTGAATCAATGTGATATTAATTAATGGGTTTATAATACGGATATTGTAGAAATCTTTTATACAAATTTCCCTTTGAGCACCAAAATCAACCATTTCTTCACATCCCTGACAGACCTCATGAGAAAATACACACACATATAAATATATATATATACATCTCAGCTCGGCTTTCCCCACATTTCCCTTTCCCATCAGTCTCTCACTCAGTCAGTGAGTGCGCCTCATATCTGCTCCTGTCTTATCTGTATTCCAGGCTGATGGGAAAATTCAAGTTTGGGATTACCTCTGACTGCTGACCCGAACCCATCTCACACAACTGGCCTGGCCTGCACTTTCATTATCCCCATGCTTCAAAGCGCCGTACAACAAAATCTCACACTCTCTTGAGCAGGCACACGTATCTGAAATCCCTCTGGCTGAATGTGCGATCCTTGTTTTGTATGCATGAGGGTAGAAATTAAAAAACGGCTGATAGTGGAGAATGTATATCTGGTCTACAGTGGAGGGGAGCCTATATCTTCTCCCTTCCACCGGGTGGTTGTCTCCTTCCTGTATGAGCTGAGGGCCCATCCATATGCAGATGGCTAATTTGTAGTGTTTACAGAGGAGCAAAGAGGGGGCGACAGCTCATGAAGAGGGCTGAAAAGAGGCTGCCTACGTGTCACCCCAGGAGCCCGGTGGTAAAGCCTGTCCTACCAGAGCAACAACATAAGTGTCCAATCTGTGTTTGCTTACCCGTGGACACCGATGACTGTGTCCTGGCCGGGGGCCTGTAAATTGTGCTTTTTTTACAGGCCCTGACAGCTAACAGGCTATTGGGAACAGGCGCCCAATGACACAGCCACTCAACAGATTAGCACCTCATCAGCCTCCTGCAGCTACGAACAAATACAGTCCCTGCCTCCTTAAAGACACAAAGGGGTTGCCACCGCTAAACAGCCCCCCGCCAACAGAGCCCCCACCCTCCTGTAGCCACAAAACTTCCTGGTCTGGTCTTTCTCTGAGGCCACAGCTGCATCAAGGGATCCATCCCTAGTCCCTGAGCCCACCCCGACCCCAATTGGAAAGATGTGTGTATTTCAGGTGAGCAAATATTGCCACTTGCCTGTGAGTTCAATGGCCAGCCCTTTCAGGAGGGGGGGGGGGTTGCGTATTGCATAGGGTACATGTGGCCTCACACAGCAACCAGTGCACAGGATGGGTCAGGGGAATTCTCTAGGCACAGCTGGAGTCAGCAAATCAAACATACCTATGTAGCTCATCTGCATTTTCCCAGACAGGGAAACCATTTCCAGCTTTCATTTCCTCTCTACTCCACTTTTACAACAAAACAATGTCCCCACACACACAGCGTTGACCTTTTCATCTGAAATACACAACTTACAGAGACATCCGAGGTATAGAGACATCCATTACCTCACCTATCGTCTCTTCAACAAAACTAAAATGAACATGACTGCACTGATGAGGGCTGTTAATATTATAATAAAAATGCAGGGTAGCTCAACACTTATTTTGTCAACCACATGCCATGTTTCTATTTCTCCAATACAATACATTCAAATATATAAATGGTCAAATACGGCTCAACGATTTGTTCAATAACACAATGTGAAATATTGATTCTAAACTGGGTATCATGGTTTTTCACAGCACATCCTGTGCAATGTCTCCACTGTTTTTTTGTGCACATTGCTATATTTATTCAATGATCTGCAATATTTGTAAATAGCTCTACTTCAAAACTCTACATTTTTGGATCAATTTCTGTATTTCTTAAATATATTTATTATGTCATTCATATTTATATTTACATTCGTTTATTTTCCTACTGCTATGTTGAGTAAGAGAACAGCTGTAACATCAAAATTTCCCCCTGGGGAGTACTTCTAATTGATGATTTCTGATCTAAAAAAAAAAAAAAAAAAAAAGATTTGAGATGGCAGATTAAAGTCATCAAATAAACCCCTTTATTTGCTGGTCATGATTGAGGGACAGCATTGAAAGGATTAAAGGCCAGCAGCTGAATGCACACCAACAGGCTCCTCAGGTAAAGAATCCAGGGCCAGCTTAGGTAAAGGCCACAGGCCCATGTCCGCAGCCAGCTGTGTATTGGGTCGGAAAGGTGATGTGTCAGCGAAGAGGACCACCTTGATCCGCCCCCCCCTGGAAGTCAAACAGAAGTGTGGGTCGCCGTGTCCTGGGAGGCCCTCTTTGCCATCACAGTGAAATGGAACAGGCCCAGAAAGCAAACAAGATCTCTCCCCATCTCTCTCCCCTCACAAGCCCAGGCCGAGCTTGTCTGGGTGATGGGTTTTTCTGTTGTTCTGTTTGTTTGCTTGTTTGGTCTGGAACCCATGGATACCCAGCGTGGAGTAGAGAGGAGAAGCAGAGGAATGGAGGACATAGAAGAGAGGAGAGGAAAGGTGGGAATGATGTGGAGGAGAAGGTGTGTGTGTGTGGGCGGGGGGGGGGGCAGGATGTGTGACACACAGACCTCCCCTTGAGGTGATGAGAGACCTGCAGTGATGCTACCGGTCAAAGCTGCTTGACAAATACACACAGACCGCAGGATCAGGGCAACAAAGATAGATCGCTGTCTCTGATCCTTCACCAGATGTTATTTCTGACGTGCTTCTGACACCACAGGCTTTGATTACTTCAATTCTAGAAGGATCTTTATAAGCTCACAATGTATTGGATTTATATCACTTGTTTCCACTTGTTAGGAGTGAACCCCTTTGTTTAAAGCTGTTTGTATTAGAAACTTCTATAAAATGAATCATTTTCCAGATCAAAAATGATTCCCCACCTATCCTGTGTCAAAAGTTTCTCCACATAACTATTTCACCAGTTAATCTCACAGACAGTGACACCTCCTGGCAGCACAGAGAACTGCTTTTTTTTTTTACTGGATGAAGATAAAGGATAGGTACACTTTGTCCCCATATGACATTATAGGAACATCAACATGTACACAGCGCCCTTTGTCAATCATTCAAATTCTAAGAATAATATTTACTGTCTTGCAGAGCCTGAAAGTTTTCCTTGTCCTAACATTCAAAGTATCTTAGCATATTTTTAAACATATGCAGAAAATGTTTACGTTTCTTAAAATGTTGTATTTTTGTGCAAAAATTTATTTTCTAAGTTGGCTACAAACCTTCTGTGTCCTACTTCAGTAACAAGTCTGTCATAACTGGCAACAATTGGCTTTTTTGTCAGTCATTGCACTGTAAAAACAAAAAAAGTCATGGTAACTTCACAGTCAATTTAACTAGAAGTTAGTGTTAATGTGATAATTCAATTTTGTGTTTATCTCATCTCAACTAATGAGAAGATGATCCAATTGAAATTAATAATTGATATGAGGCAAAAGGATATATTAAGTTGACCAAATGTAAATCTATAATTAAGAACACATGACAGCAAGTGGCTGCAAAGAGCAGAGGTTACCGCCGTTCACTGACATAGATGGTCCCTGGTTAACACAGCGGTTGGAAACATTGTGTGGTCAGCATGTAGTCTTGTAACTTTTATACCTCAGTGCAGCCAGATGAGGGAGACATTGCACTTATTTTGCCTCTGCAGCTTTGCTAAAATCTCCTTCCTTTGAACTGACTGTAGCTTCTCTTCTTTCTACATGACGTACAGTGTTTAAGAGCTGCGTTCCAATAAGAGACAAATTATGTTGAGTAATGAAGTTTTATTTGTTCTCTGCTGCATGTGTGGGGACCAACTCAGTGAACTCCTTGATCGTGCTGTTGTATTTAAGTCTGTTCAGTTTCTACATGGCTCCCCTGCAGGAGAGGTTAATGGGGTCATCTGGCCTGCAGAAAGGATTCACATCTTGAAACCATTCAAACAAGCAGATACACGAGAGCGCTATTGAGTACCATTTAGAGGAAAGGGGATATCTTCAACTTCACATCTGTGGCCATTTGATAATAGCATAGCAATAATGCTAGTCATGACTGCTAGCAGTGGTCAGCAACATGGGCGAAGGGAATGTACATGAAAGATTTTGGGGAAATTTAAGGCAGCTGACCTTTTATACTATCTCAAACAATAGGCCCATTCTGAAGCACAGTCCAGGAATTAGACTTTATTCATGTTTAATGCTAATCACACACTTGGTACTTGAAGAGATTCTATGATAGAATTTTGATCTTAGACAATTTCAAAGTCTTCCACAAACCCCCCACATCAACACCACCCTCTTTAACTACGCCATTACTCTGTTGTGGTGAGCGACTGGCTCTGCGAGCTGCATGGTGTGGTGCAACAATCACATCCAGCTGCTGAAAAATGGGACCTGACATGCCAAACCACACACACACTCACTCACTCAGTCACACATCGTGATGCAACACACACACACACACACACACACACACACACACACAGTCTATGTGCTGCATTCAAGCTGAGAAAATAATATCGTTAAAGTCATTAAGTGAAGGAGAAAACTTTTGTTTTTATTTAAGAAGTTGACTTTTAATTCCATTGGCATGTACTGAAATATACAAAACACTGACACCTGCCAATCCAGCGGCAACAAAGACAGAGGAAGGACAACAGGGAACAGAACGTACTCCCAAAACACACCAATAGAAAAACTACAAATCTGTAGTACTTTAAACTCCCAGGTAACCAAAACGTCTTCATACTGAGTTTTTTCTTTGTCTACTGTCTCGACAATCGGGTTGTTGAAAAAGTCCAGACAACACAATAATCAAGACATAAAAAATGATTTGTTCAATGTATCCAAAGTTCAGTCTCTGTGGGTGTTGTAGCACTTCAGAGAAGTGAAGAGCAACATTATTCCAGAACTGGAAAAAATCACATTACTTCAAGAAAAACATGAGAAAGATACAAAGAAACATAATGCTCCAACATTGAGTCCTTGCTTGTTCAGCTTCACGATGAACAGAGGAAAAATTGGCTCCATTATTGCTTGTACTGAAGGATGAGAGATTTGGTCTCGCAGCGTGTCCAGCATGTTCATTCAGAAAAAAAAGTAAAAACATTTCAAAAACAAAAAGTGTGGGTGAACAAAATCAGTAAAAGTCTGTAGGTCACTTTGTTGAACGGGAAATGTACACAAATTGCGCACTACTAGCATGATACCCAAGACACATGTTGATTAGAAATAATGTTTGGGGTTTTGTTAACACTGCGTAACATTGCATGAAATTCACTCTCTCTGCTGAATATCACTGGTTGAAATTTTGCCCCTTCACTTGACACTAAAAGTGTTCTCTCTCTGTAGCAGCCAATAGTGTCTCAATTCAATTGCTGTTGTTTAATGGTAATATAGTGCAAAGATCTACCACATTCACAAAAATACAATACAATACAAATGTGTGTGTGTGTGTGTGTGTGTGTGTGTGTGATAGTTCCAGTTTCATGTCAAAGGACAGTCTCACAAATGTTTCAGAAATGAGATTCAAACTCATTGTTGAACTTCTCAGGCTGAATATCCCTTGTGAAAAGTGCCCTTTACTCCTTCACTAAGCTCTCTCTCTCTCTGACCCCTCTCTCTAAATTAAAGAAAAGAGTCATATCATAACCACATTTGTGCACACCATATCTGATCTATTAAGTTTGCTTTGCATATTTTGGTTTGGGATTGTTCTTAAAAATGAACCAAACTTAAGCAAATCCATGGAATGTTTTGATATTGTGCAAAAAAAGAAGATGATGAACACTCTTCTCCACTGACAGTTTCTCAATCTATCTCCACCTGCGTGCTGCTTGTAGCAGTGGATCATGCTACAATCTCTGTCTGGTTTCTCTCCTTTTAAAGCCTTCAGAGAGTCATTGACCTGATCGGCTTCCCTCTCTGTTTCTAAAACAAACAGTCCGGGATGGAACATCCTCAGCTCTCGAAAGCTTCAGTGACAGTTCACGTCTTAAATACATGTGGTGTTGTTAGAACCCTGTGCCACTAGGGGTCCTCTTCCATGTCGTCCAGGTTGGGAGCCATGATGAAGTGTTTGGGGTAAAGGAGACTGTGCTCGTCTGCGAACTCCTCCCAGCGCGCGTCGTCGCTTTCATGTGTGATGTAGCGCTCGCCTCGCCGTGTCTCAAACTCCCTGAGGTCCAACCATGTCTGATAGTCCTGAAATAGACATGAGCACTGTCAGTACATTCTTCTTATCAGATGGGAGGTGTTTACGACATACAGTTATTGAATTGGTTCAGCCTTTTATGCTTGTCAGCTTGTGTATATAAAACCTAAATATAATTTTTTCTAAGATGGAAATTCTATTCATTTTGAGTTTACATAAAAAGCTTTGTTTTGCAATTTGTTATGCTTTGAGTCTGCATGTTCACAGGTTTTCAATAACACCTTCATATGCAATTGTTTAGTGAGGAAAGTGTTCGTTACCGAGTGATACAAGAACTTTGTAGGACATTCTAAGATCATCTATCATCAAAAAATGTACTGCAGCTAAATCTAAATTTGAATGGACTGGGGCACATTCATATACCTTGAAATGAGCATGAAAAGGAAATGTATTTTATGTCTTGTTTTGTTTGCCTTGTTTGGTTTCCCTTTTGTCTTTATGTGTTATTGGTATGATTTTTTTTAGTGGTTGATTTGAGTCCTTGTACATGTTTTGTAATTGTTATATACTGCTTGAAAGTTTCAATAAAATAGTTTTTGAAAAAAAAAAAAAGTACTGCAAACAGTAAGACAATATCCAAATCCTTTATTTACACTGATCAAGTCAACTGTGTCAAAGGTACAAAGAGAATAAGTTCACCTGTAACCACGGATGGCTGAGACACTTGTCCACGCTGTACCTTTTCCTCATCTTGACTTGGAGAAGGTTGTTGATCAGATCTGTGGCTGTAAAAACACAACATTCACTTCATTAATAAAGTGAATTCTAAAGACAGATCATCTCAAACATCATACTAAAGGATGTGACTCCTCTATTGCTGCAAGACTCTCTCAGCCAATCATAGTAAGATGAAGATCGTCAGCGTATAACAAGAGGAACACTGCTTCCTGTAGCCTTTCAGAGCAGTGGGAGGAGCTGCAGTTTGGGCAGTTTGAAAGTGATTCATCTCAACCACAGACACAGAAAAGTCAAAGCAAAGCTCAGACGACCCAGACGAGTAGGTGGGGGGGACGCGTCAGGGGCTACAGGTCTGAGTATCAGTTTGAAAACAAGCTACAGCAGCAACCGGCACTAAAGATCTGCCAGATAAGATCCAGTGTTGGTGATAATCTTCACATTGATTCATGTTGTAAAAATATTTCTTCCTAGTTTAATATTCCATCTTTATTGCTTGCACACAAAAGCAAAGTTAACTAGAGTGAATGTCCTTGTATGTGCACACAAACCTGGACAATAAAACTGAGTCTGATTCCTAGTCTTCTTACCCTCTGCAGAGATGTCCTTCCAGGGCGTAGGGGGGTACATGAAGGCAGCGTTCTGGATTTGGTCGTTAATGTCCTCGTCCTCATTGAAAGGAAATGTCCCACTCAGGCTTACGTACACGATGACTCCCACTGACCACATGTCTAAGGAGCGGTTGTAGCCTTTACTTCGCAGCACTTCTGGAGCCAAGTAAGCCGGGGTGCCCACTACAGACCGACGGAATGACTTCTCGCCGATGATGCGGCAAAGCCAAAGTCACACAGCTTTACCTGGAGGAAGAAAAACATGATTATTTTACAAACAAACACTAAAGCAAAACGTATATGTTGACGTACGCAAACATGACTGCTGTTTACCTGAGGAAACGGTTCTGCAGAAGCCAGTAGAACATTCTCAGGCTTTAAGTCACAGTGAACAATGTTTTTGAAGTGCAGATGTCTCAAGGCCACCAGGATCTAGTGGAAGAGGAAAACAAAAAGCCCAGCGTTAGCCCAAAAAATCCAGATGAAATTGCTTTAATTTCCAGCGTCTAAATGCTTTATTGTTAGCAGTGTATGGTATAAACAGGATAATGTTTGTATAATCTAGGCAGTAGAATTTATGGAAAATGACAGCAATAATATAAGCATGCAAATGCCCTTAAATACTTCCATCCTGACCAGCACCTTTACATAAAGAAATATGATCTCATCTCATCATCCCATCTATATTCACGAGGCTTGTGGCATAAGCTTGCGCTGTACGCATGTCTGCCTATGGCCCTGAACCAAAACCACTGTGCGCCTGGCTCTCCTACCCTGACCCTGACTTTGACAGAAGTCCTCCGGGCCACATCAGAGCCAGGCCTGCCGCAGCTAATGGGGCTCTTGTTAATGGCCCCGCTCCTGTTTGGGATGGGGGGGGGGGGGGAGGGGCTCAGAGTCCTGCTGCTCTTTCTAATCAAGCCACAAAGCCACCAGCACACTGCAGGCTGTAATCCACTGCCAGGGAGGAGGCTGTGATGCCATGCAGACGGTTCCAGTAAACAATTCCCCCCAATCAGCTGACCACAAGAATAAACAGGCCCTGGAGCTGGAAAAGAGGCGCATGCACACCCCACAAAAAAAGAGGAGGGAGGACAAGGGGGGGAAGGAAAGCTACTTTTTTTTTTTTTACATCAAGCATTTTTTTAAAGGTCATTTAAAATAAATGCATGTCCCCAATGAAAAACATTCAAAGCTGATTCAAAGTGAAAGTTAAGAGTTCACAGTCACCAACCGAAAAAGACGTGATGGGCGGAGGTAGATTCCATCCCATGATGTCTACATATATAAAGCTCACTGCTTACCACCATCAGCCACCAAGAACTCTTCCAAACTGTTTGCCATCAACTCAGTCAGCACCCAGGGGTCTTTCTGTCTTTGAAGTCAGGACTACCCCGTGTATCAGTGCCTGCACAAACGTGGTTCTCCTTTCTTTTTCCTCTTGAAAATGCTCCTTTGCAAACTCTCTGCACTATCTTGTGAATATCCCACAGCCCATGAGGAACCTAATGACTGATTTTTTAATATAAAATTGCTTAAATTACATTTACAATGCTTACTGAAAGGTGAAGTGATGCTTGCATACACGCTGATGTTGTTAGCATATTTTAGCAGATTAAAAGTGGTAGAAAAAGATGTCTTGGATGGACTGGAGGGAAGAGTGTCTGCAACACCAACCTGTGTGACTAAGAACTTGGTGATCCGTTCGGGTAGTTTGCTCTTCTCGCTGGACAGAATCATCTCCAGCATGTCGCCGTGCAGCTTCTCCATGACAACAAACACCCGCTCCGGCGTCTCGAACATACACTCCAAGTTAACGATACCTGGGTGATGCAGATTCTGTAGAGAATAGTACCATCAAAACACAACAAGGAATAGTGAGACAGGTGCTGACATGTTTGTTCAAAAGCAGTGAAACATCCTGTAGGACGTGCAACCTCTCAGACAGAAAGCCCATGCTCTCATTTGGAACATATTATTTAAGGGATATGATGAAGAGATTCAGTTCATTACCTGTAAAATAGCTACTTCGTTCCTTAGCTGGCTCTCCTGCTTTGTAGGAAATCTCATCTTATCAATAACCTTGATGGCCACATCTCTGCCACTTTTTCTGTGTTTCCCTGGAACATCAAGGGGCACAAGAAAGTGAATAACATTTCGTTAACTGTAACAAATTGAATACAATCCACAGTAAAGTTTTTGTTATATAAAATATAAGTGGTTCCATATGCATGAGCCAAACATACCTCCATACACGATGCCAAACTGGCCCGATCCCAGAACCTCATCAGAGAATATTTGGTAAACTGAGGCAATATCCTGCACAGAGATAATGTGCGCTGTTACTGTCGTGTTTAACTTTTACTGCTGTAACATTTGTGGAATTTTTCCATGTTGGCATTGGCAATAGATTGATATTTACAACATCAAAACCACAGAAAGAATAGTCCTCTCGCTAAATGTTTTCTGCTATTGCAAAAGGTTTCTTTATATTTAACTTTCCCTCAATGCAGAAATGAAAGCGAGACAAACATCCCTTGACCCGAAAGAAATGGGTCTGCAGCTTCCCCATTTTTTTGCAGCATGAAAGCTTCCACTGGGGTTTTTTGGTAAAGAAACAGTAGGATACGTGTCAGACCTAACCACCACAGGTTCTTTAATAGCTCATGAATGCATGCAATTTGAAGACCATTCTGGGAATTGATGCTAGCTTCTATTAGAAGAAATAAAGTCCCACTCACCACGTTCTCCTGTATCTGGCTGTTGGACACAGATATGCTGATGGACAGCTCTGCTAAAGAGAAAAACACGCTTCAACATTCAGCAAGTGGACAAACGACACTTAACCAATGCATTTCATAGCCAGTAAAACTTATTAGTGCAAGAGTATTACTTAAATACAATTTTTTTTTTATTTACACAACCTTCTGGTTTTTCCCAGCTGCATGTAATAAGTCACAGCCCCAATAATGAAGCATCTCATTACACAATCATCTGGCTATAAATTTGATCAGGGGAGCTATGCATGACTGAATGGTGCAAGTATTTAATGCATTTCATAACTGGAAACTGGGGCAGCCACTTGGGCCAATTCTGCATAGCCAACGGAGAAGAAAGCCAGAGATAAAAGGAAATAGCATGATGGGGTGATCAATGATGTAATGCTACACACAACAATGTCCTTTTCATCTTGGGTGAAAAGAACAACAGCGCAATGATAATTAACCGCAAAATTTCCCCAAGTGTTTGTGGACTAAATTATTAATTAACGATTGGTTATCAATCAACCAAAATAAAATCATTTATGAGTTCAGATGTCAAAATGACGAGGATTATTGTGAACAGCTTATTGGCATCTATGAGTGACAAACGAGTTTCAAAGGTGATGTAATAAGTCATGTCTTTCAGTTTCATGTCCTCTGTTGTGACCACTTGTGTGATCATGCAAACGACAAGTTATGATTTGTCGCAAGCAAGCATGACTCTCATGTGGAACTCGGATCTTTGAAACGATTAATTACCAAATAAAAGCCGACAGCTTCCAAATTTATTGCCTCTTCTTTGCTGTTCAGGGCCATAAAAGAAAGATAATATCACTTCTGTCCTGATACTGTGAGTTAGTCTCAGTTTGTTCCACAGTCAGGTCCGTTCATTTGTGGTCCCCAGACAGGGACCTGCTTCACAGCTTCACTTCTGTCGACCCATAATCAAGAACACAAGATTTTTATTTTTTTCACTTTATCAAAATTTGGCTGGCTGACAAACTGCTGTTTTTTGTTTTTTTTAACCATGTGAGCCAAGAGAAGAGAAGGCTTTTCTTTCTATTCAAGCAAACCCCAAACGTATAAGCCCACATAATAAAGGTTTCCATGGTTATATTTGTTTATTCTATTTGCTTTTAAAAGGTTGGGGCCTAAGTTGATAACAATTTAGTCCTGTGTTGTGTTAGGAAAATCTCTGTTATATCACAAGTCATTACTGTCAGGGGAAACCCAAACTCAGTGCCCGTCACAAAACTGATGTTTAATGCAGAATTACTTGAGTAATTGTTTTTACTCACTATGATCTTTGCCCTGTCCAGCAGCACTGGCCACGCTGGGCTGAGGGGTGACGGGCATCAGGGCCTGTCTGATGGCCTTCTCCCAGCCCTGAGCCACCTCCATGCCCACTCCTGAGGCAGCCAGAGCCGGGCTGTGGTAGTGACTGCAGTTGTTCTCTCCTACATAGTACACCATGGTGGCAGTGATGATCTCAAAGCAGTGTGGGTTGCTGCCCTGGGCGAGATTGCTGTAGTCTCTGGACTGTTCCACCTGGAGGATCTCGACAGAGGGATTTCCTGTGGGAGGAGTCAAAGAAAGGGATTACAACCATTACCAAAATATAAAGAACATCTCTGGGTTTCTAAAACAGAGATTCAGGAGATATTCATCATATGGGTGAAAGGGTTGTCTGCATTGTCAACCAAATTCACAAGAGGCTTCACCAATAACCAACAACTTCTGAACAAAGCACAGGACGTTTATCTGTCCAACAGTGGACCGGACAAAAACATACAGTACATGTACCCATTTCTACAAGCATGCATTATTTATTAGATCAATCCTCAAATCTTAAAATGATACATAGGGAAAATAAAACAGAGAAAAAATACAGAAATATTATTGATGAAGTTAAACTATGCCGAGAAAAAAGGAGGTAAAAAAATACACAAAAAAAAAAAAAAAATTCTCTCTACAAATTCAACAAGTTTCCTTTTCCACTGAAAAATTGCCTATTTTTTTAAATTGTTGATCTTATCTAAAGACTTGAAAACAGAAACACATGAGGCTTTGCATGAGGATAAACTGCACCTTCTAAAAAATATCATGACAAAAAAGACAGACACAAGTGGTAACACTCACACTCTAAAAGTCTCCTCGCTGGTTTGCAATCACAGAGATGATTAAATAGTCCAAAATCTAACTTTCTCTTCTACTCTTCTCTCTCTTGTGAGCACGCACAGAGAGGACAGTCTGAGCACACTTTAAAAACCCCCTTCTCCTTTACACTTACTGTCAAATCAAAGAGAGGAGGGAGGGTCGAACAATTTGAAAACACAAAGAAGTTCCAGCCAATGGGGGCTCACAGAGGCACACGCTGTCCCTTCCACGGGGCTCACCACAAGAGTATCAGATGAAGTGCTTGTGGTTAGCGGGGCCGGGTCACGTGAGCGGGTCCTGCGGCAGCTCAAGTGCTCCGGTTCCCTGATTACAAGGCAGGGCCAGCCAGAGGCCCCATCTGAGCACGAGCCGCTGGCGCTACCGCCAGCCACTGAGAAGAAAGACACGGCAACTGCCGTTCCCCCGTAGGGTAGCAGTGTGTGTGCATGTGTGTGTCTGTGGGTGCAACGTTTGAGTGTGACAGGACTCAATCTGGAGGAGACAGAGAGAAGCCCCTTCACCCCATAAAAGGGTCTTCAGAGAAAGCCACAAGTACAGGGGTCTCGTCTTCAAACGAGCAGCAGTTATGGCTTCCAAATGGTGAAAATGGCTGCCATGCCTGGCAAGCGGGCCACCACGCGACCACCACTAATCAGATTGGAGGTATAAAGAAAAAAGGCGAGGGGAGGACAGTGGCCACACACTGATGAGCAGCAGGCAAGAAATAAAAGAAACATGCCCAAGACAGACAGTTTCCCGGATACAGATTGCGCATATGGAGAATCTGTGGTTTTGGAGAAGAAACCCCTCTGAAGGAACCCTTTTCTACAGGAAACCATCCACGGTTCTCTATCATGGATAGAAATGTGCAACTATGAAGCAACAGGCATGGGGCAAAAAACTCTGTATATTGAAAAGAAAGGCATTTACAGCCAGCCTTCAATTAGCCCTCTGAACGTCTTAACTGAGCCGAGTGCCAAGTTGATAATAAAGAACCACATAAAGCTGCCAGTAAACACACCCTGAGGAGTCGGTCCCTGCTGAGGTTTCTTTTGCAAGGCTTTAGTGGCAGGACATGCAGGGTGTGACAGAATAATTGGGAGAGAAAAGTGAGTGCATTAAGTCTTTTTTAAGATTGTGTAACAAGCAGCATAAAGAGAGAAGGTAAAAACAAAGGGGTTAAACAAAGAGCAGAGAAACCACCTGTTTGACACACACACACACACACACACACTCTCAGATGCAGTCTGGAAACTCTGCTCCATCCTACACACCATCCCACTGCAGCACAACTCTGACCACAGCTCGAGGAGGTGTCAAAGTCTCAAAACACACACAGCGACATGAACAATAAAAAGAATGATATCCCCCACCCTGCACACACAAACACACAACCGAGCAAAAAAACATGTGGAAGTCTTTACCTTGCAGGCTGTAGTTCCTTCCCTCTGTCCCCACTGTGTAATTACTGTGCTATTAAGCCCCTGCGGCAGTGTAATGACTGAGCACGATGCTGGAACTGAGGGGAAAGTGTCACACTCTCCAAAACGTATTTTACAAAACGAGCTCAAAGAAAATACACACTACTAAAGGAATTTCAAGTGAAACATGTGAATAATTCCATTCAAATTTGAGAATTGCGCACCTCATTGGCAACTACTCCTTTTGATTCCCTTCAAATCCCCCTAAAAAGTCCGATCTGATCAACAATCGTTTAGGAAAGTGAGACAATCCTTTCACTTCAGAAACGGAAGAGGCACAGATCGAGGGTAAAGAAACAACGCCGGGGAAATTTCAGTGGACTGAACTGACCTCAGCGCAAGTTTACAGTTGCAACACGGCAGCCCTCAGGCTGAGTCACACAGCTACTACTGGTTCAAGATGATTTACATACCTCTCATAAATGTGTCAGACAACCTGGATATGAAAATGACTTTGGCATCAACACTTTGTAACCATAACCAGGTAATGCAACAGTAATTTTTGATACTAAGGAGCTATTAGTACATATTAGTTATTGTACATATTACTCTTTGCTTAATGTGTTTATTGTTCATATTTAATGTTATACTTGTACATAAGACAGCACAATTCACTGAAGTTAAATTCCTTGTGTGTGTAAGCATACCTGGCCAATAAAGCTGATTCTGATTACGGGAGCCTTGGACACTTATGAATCAAAATACATGAAGCCGCTCACTTTTCTGACAATCGTCAACAACGTCTGTGGATAACTCCTGTAGTAATTTGGTGTTATTAGTGTGTTGTGCAAACTTGCTCAGTGTGTCATTCCTGATAGGTGAAGCAGTACTATTGTATTGTGGTTTTATTTACTTTTCATCTGATAAAATGATAACTGCACATTGCTGTGGAGTGTTGGTGTTTATGCTCAGTGCAGCTAGCCACAGACCAGTATATATTTCACCAAAGTGAAATATGTATGTTGACAAGGTCTCTTCCTGATTAGAATGGTCAGGAAAATTACAAGAGTGTAACATCTTTCGAATCTTTAAACAATAAAAAGATTTTATAGGTCAAAGCTGGCAACAGAACTTTCTGACCTAGTAGCTACTTAAAAATATGGATGTTATACGGCTGAGATTAAGCGCAAAATGACAGAGCGTGTGAAAGCAAAGCGAAGCTTAGAGGAAAAGTCCAAAAGTATGGTATGGAATACTGTGCGGCGACCTCCAACCCCTCTCCCCTCCTTCTAAACACCAAGGAGTCGAATGGAACGCACGGTAATTAAGTACCAATAAGCGCAAGCGGCGAACACAATTGTCCTTTGCTCGAGCTGCTATTGCCTGTGGCCAGCATTGTTGTGATAGCAGGCTAATGTTAGCACACTTTAGCTAGCTCGAAGCTTCACATTGCGTATAAATTGACACAGAATGATCGTGATCTAAAAAACGCTTTCATTCCAATAAGCAGTGAGTATGTTTTTCTTCTTTTATCTAGACCTGGACTCAAACAGCTTTTGTACACAAGGGGAGAAGCCGGCTGTACGCTCCATGTAAAGATGATGTAAACACAACAACACAGCCAGCAGGACTCGCTCATTGCTCATCTCCCTCATTGTAGACAGTCATGACTTAAATCCCTTGGTTAGGGTCTGTGTCAGTGCTGCTCTTCAAACAGACACTGACTGATTGCCATCTCCTTTAAGAAACATACTGTCTTTTGATTTTTACCTGAAACAACCCCACTTCAAAAGAAAGACAAACAATTCCTCTCTTAATAAAAGTGCTACTACGTATTTGATTGCTGAGGACAAAAAGATGATTTCCCTTCAGGAAGGCAGAGATGATTTGCTTACTTTATAGAACTTTGCCCCGGTGTCGTTCTGGAACAGACTCAGACTCTTGCTGTCCAGTCTCCAGTAATGTCTTTTCCGCTGTTAAACAAGGAAACAAACAAACAAACAAGTTTGTCCAAATGATAGAGCTTGCAGGACCCAAAAAAAAAATATAATATATATAATATATATAATATATATATATATCACCACACTTTAAAGTTTAGTTTCATGAGGAAAATACCTTCTGTGCTGAATTCAACACATGTGAACAGCTTTGGAGAAGGAGTTTTCCCCTGCATACAGGCTAAGCACTGCCCATTTCTGACTGGGCTCCTCTGTTGGACTTTTTGGGGTTATCAGTCTTACCAGGTTGTCCCTGCTCGTATAATGAACCATCCAGCCCTCCTTCACCACAGTGGAGCTCCGCCTCTTGGTGTGTTTGATGGACTGGACCACCCGCATCAGAGGGATGTTGCTGCTAGTGGAAGGACTAAGCACACACAGAAGATAAATACATCGATTATTAAGACAATTTGGAACTCCTTTAGAAAAAAAATAACGTAATGAAACAGACTCCATTCACCGACAGTGAACTTGTGAGATTTGCTTTCCCATCAACCTAGTTACTTTCAGAAATTCTGCACATGGCTTTCGTAGAATTTGGCAGCAACTTTCAGCAGGGAACATTATAAGTGCTGGTACTAGAGTAAACAGTGCCCCCTACACCTCAAAACTGAAAATCTGCAGCAGCACAGTACCAGCCATGAAACAAAAACAGCTGGAACTGGAACCAGAAATGAAAAGTGGAAACTGGATAACATTATTAAGCAAACATCCTCACACCTGATAGTCTTGATGGGCTCTTCATCTTTCTCTCTGTCCAACAAAGGGGAATCCATGTCGAACATCCTCTCGTCAGGGGTCGAGGATTCTTCTGAATCGTCCAGCCCTCTGCCTCCATCCATATCATTACTGTCCACCTCCATGGTATCCATGGTAGTGTCAGAGTCAGGGCCAGGGCTGGCTGGCTCTACAACAAGTGCATTTAACATATTGTAGGTTTATTTTAAATTGCGAGCGACAGAGATTAAGCACGGTGAGTTGGGATGGCAGAACCTACCTCCATTAAAGTCCACCTCGCCCAAACAGTCTCTAGGTACCTTCGACGCACATCGCTTATGGCAGTTGAATCTGCAATCTAGAAGATGGAATTGAAAAGATGATGCAAACTTTACAGAATAATGATAATTTCATATTCTGTATTGAACCCCATATCACCTACCTTTACACTGCATGCCTTGGCGAAAGAGCCCTTTGAGCAGACGCTTGCAGTACTGGCAGATCGTTGGACGAGTGTAGGTGTGAATGGCGAAGGTGTGTGGCACCTTGACCCGCCCCAGCACCATCTTCTCCATCCAGATGGGCCTACCGCTCCAGGACAGGATCCTCTTCCCTGCCTCCTGGTGAGACCTCTGCTGCAGGGGGTGGTAAAACAAAAAGAGAAGAATTAAAAAAGACAAAAAGTGGGAAAACAGCCCTGAAAGGAAGTCATTTACCAGATAGGGAAAGGCAGAGGGAATAATGACAAAGCAATAGACAGAGAGAATGGAGGTAATAAGAAATCTGTCGTATAGAGTTAGATCAACAAGTGGTCAAAAAAACGCTTATTGGATTTGTCACATTTGACCACACATGAGCATTAAGCTCTGGTTTAATTTCAATCACTCAGGCAGTCTGGAAGCTCCTGAAAGGATCGAGAAGGAAGAATGTTCCATATTTTTTCTCCCAAAAAAAACGTGAGTAGCAGATACATAAACTTGGACGTTCAATGTCATTAACATAATTACATTTTCCTGATGACCTTTGGTGGGGACCCAGACAAGAGAGGAATATTCCAGCACGGGCTTATGCAAAAAGTGTTTCATAAGAGTCGCCGAGGGTCTCTCCACAGAGCAATGTGCCGCTCAATTCAATTTTCTGCATCAGTGCTATTCGACAACAGGGCCCAGGAGATTCAGCCGTGGAAAAGAGCCAAATATGATAAGTTTAGACACGTTTAGCTGTTGAGACAAAGCTTGTGAGCAGCATATAATTGACTGCCTCACATTCTTGGCAAATTCATCTTGCTTTAGTCTGAATTCTGACGACGTCTCAAACTCCAGCAAGCCCACTTTATCCATGAGGATAAGAAAAGTCATAACTTTATCCCCCTTCATTCAGAGGATAAGCTGATTCTGATGCCTTTCCTGCCTTTGACTGGTTACTTTGCATGCCGCGGTTTTCTTCATTTCTGTCCGGGGGAAAAAACCTTCGAGCCTCGACCAATCAGAACTCACCTCATCCAGGACCACCACAGCATTTTCTGCAGGTGCCGGTCGAGGGACAGAGAGGGAGGGTCCGGGCAGGGAGACATTGGACAGTCGCCTCTTCCTCACACCGGTACAGTTATTTGGGATCTTAAAGGCACAGCGCTTGTGGTAGTTTAACCCACATCCTGAAAGCATGAAATCACAAACATCATCAGTTAAAGGCATTCAAAATAATTGAAGCTATAGCTATGAATGATTCATTGATAAATAATCAAATAGTTGAGCTGAATCAAAAGTAAGAGAGGAATTCACTTGACAATGACATGAGGATGAAATTAGTATAATTCAAATCTGACCCAGCAGGGACGGAAGAAAGGCAAGCTGACAGGCCATAATTCCATTGCAATCGGATTGTCAAGCCTTTTACTCGCTACAGCCCTCAGACAAATGTCCCACTGTGATTGTGTATGGGCACGGCAGGAAAAAAGCTGGATTTCATTACTAAAGTTCAATAAGTAGGTGGTAATGACACACATGTTTCTTTACTAGTCTACAAAGTGTGTGAGTGTGTGTGAGTGTGTGTGTGTGTGCATCAGACCTTCACATTTGAGCCCTTGCCGGACGAGACCCCACAGCATCTCCCCACAGTAGTCACAGAAGGTGGGGGCCTTGTACGAGTGGACATAAAGGGCATGGGGTCGGATCTGGAAGTCTTCAACGGTGGCTTGAGCTAAAAGAAAAACACAAGGGGTAGAAGTTAAACTCAGTAAAAGCAACACAAATGAAGAAAGGCGGTAAAAAAAAGAAAGAAAGAAGAAAATGATGAGCAAAGATGACAAAGGGAACAAAAACAAAAGAAGAGAGCAGCCATTCTTCAAATTTTTGGCAACTATTGCACTAATGTGTATGTAATTAAGAAAAAAACTGTGATTCTATCTGGGGTGCAAACAAATGCATGTATGACTTTATGTAAGAGCTATGTCTGGATCACTACAGTAGAGGGCGCCAAATCTGCAGAAACAATGTCTTTAATCAGTCTCAAAGTGACCGGGCACACCCAAAAACACGATAGAGAAATTCAGAATGATGCTGTAATATCACTTAATTGTATTAATATCACAAACATGGCATCAAAAGAGGATTCAGCTGTGCACGATCTTTTTTCCATTTCTCTCTTCTTGTTTCCAACATGGCTCTGTTGTTTTGAATCAAACGGACACAGTGAGCTCATTGTTGGAAGCCAGAGTTGGTTAATCACGGCTGTGAGTCACCAGAAGACGTGAAGATGAGTAAGATATGGGTATGATTGCCAGATCTGAGGCTCCTCGTCTCTGATTTGCATTGGAAGTGTGTCCCCTGTGTGTGCAATCATTTATGCGGCCACAGTGACCGACAAGAGAAATTGGTTAATCTTCACATCGGAGGTTAAGCAACAAAACCTGTGTGTCGCCGATGGTAATGTCATAGTGTGTGTGTTACTGCGTATTCTATGAAGCGATCCAATCATCAAACACGTTTCTTTCTTTTGGATTACCGAGGACATTCTCAGCTGTTGTGGCTGTGATGAGATACAGAACCATCAATATAACAAAAGCACATTCTCTCTCCGTCTCCCATCTTCACATGCTCCTTATAAAGAAATATGAAAACATCCTTAAAGCATGACAACATCAGATTTTTTCATTTAGATTTCACAGGACTACTAACATTCAATAAAAAAAGCCTGTCTGAATCTATTTGGTGTTATAGTACTGGAAGCAGAAAATCTATTTTCCCTATTATTTGGACACTTACTGGGAAAACTGCTGCTAAATCCTCGGAAGGTATTCATATCATTTCAGACCACACTCAGGCAACTCCCCCCCCCCCCTCCATTTCAGAGAAATAGATAGCTTCGTTGATCAGTGTTTGGGTTTGAGAATAAAGAACTCAAAGCAGGTCACATGTCACAGAGTGAACATAGCTCCCTGGCAGCTACATATGAAAGGCAGCATTCAGGAGTTTTTGCACACACGTCTGCATAACAACTGGCTGCTTCTTAGCAGTCATAAGAGTTATGTAAGGCTTGCCGTGCTAATTAACTTCAAACAACACCAAACATTAAGCTGGAAGGGATGTTCTTCATAGGCACTTCACACGAGCAGAGGGGAGCTCGCATGAATGCAGTATCTGTTTCAAAGGTGGTGAGTTTCCATTTCAAGGCCACAAGTTTCCATCCGACTCCAACATATTTATGACAAACAGAAGGTGAAATATCAATTTCCCTGAGCTTGTGACAGTGGGTGGGAATTTCAGGGAGTGAAAAACAGAACAAAGGGACAACCAGTCAGGTCAAACATCAAACCTCCTGGGCCGAGATGGCCCGCGCTGTGTTCCCTGTGTCCAGGGCCGCCCTGCACATCAGAGCGTGTTTACACTCCACGGGTTCTACTACAATCACTTACTGCAGGAAAAACAAGCTGACTTCTTTGAGTCAGCGGCCAAGAAAAAGCCACTTCTGCCTCCTTCTCGCAGCAAGACAGAAATTCAGAATCTTCTCTCTTCCACAGCCACAGAATCCAACAACAGGTTGGTTAAGGAAAAACTGAGGGGAAGATGATAGGAAACAAATTGCCGGGGACGGAATAGCTTCATATTTTTTCAGCACCAAATGAAAGGCTTGGGAAGGTTGATCTTTCAGCTCATGTTTCTCAAAACAGTCATCAAGAGTCTGACATGCAAAGCTCACCTCAAGAAGAAGGCCAAGTTTATTGAGTGTGCAATGAAGGAAAAGAGACTGCATGTGCTACATATGTAGCAAATCTAAGATCCTACTCTTCTTCTTTCTTGAGAGTATATCTCGGGCAGTAAACTGTCAGGCTTCACTGCTGAGGCTTACACCTGCAGATGGATTTGTTGTGGTAGGAGGGATTAGAAAAAGAGAAAGCGAGGAGGGAAAGAGAACAACAGAGGCTGACACAAAAGAGAGCACAAGACAAACACAGACAGTGCGAAACAAAAAGAAGGAAGTTCTCCAGTCTTTAGTCGACATTCCTCAGCCCTGCTGCCTGAAGTATCCTCAGATCCTGAACCTATACAATCATCCCCTGCATAAATCCCTGCAAACAATGCTCCCAGCCCAGGAGAGAGGGGGAGATATTCAGCACAGGTGGTGTCAGGTGCTTCCCATTGGAGATGGAGCAGATGGAGCAGGAGAACGGATTACAGCAGAACAGATACTCTAAGCCATGTGAAGGTCTCAGCACCGCACAGGAAGCTGATTCATTCATGGCAGGAAGTGACAAAGAAAAAGACCAAACACCTGTGTAGCTGATTAAAAAAAAAAAAAAAGGTGCATATCTTCTGGAAACTTTGATGGTAGAAGAAAGAAATGTATCACAACATAGAAATGAGAGCTTGTATGAGGAGTGTGGGGTAATTTACATGCACTCTTTCAACCGTCTACTTAAAGTTACTCAATAACATTTCATCTGAGCTGCTACATTTAAGTGAGTACACAGACACAAGACATTACAGGCTGTGTTTACTGGAATGGGTGTCAAGTATGACAAGGCACAAAAAAAAAACCATTTAGCACATTAAGTTTCCCCAAGTTTACAAGTTGAAGACCATTGTTTAGAGTTTAAAACTCTTGGTTTATAGTGCAGGGTGGAATTTATGACCTTTCTTCTCCTGTTTTGAAAGTCGAGGGAAGCCAAGAACTTTCATCTCTTTCTTTGGACAATTTCTCTTTTTTTTTCCTTCTTTTTTTTTTGCTGACTATTCAGTTACAATAAGCTTTCAGATTAATAAAACACTGCCAAAGAGACAGCTTCTATTCTCTAAATTGTAGTAGTGCACCACTGGGACTTCTACTGGGCTTCTGTCCCACAGATACAAACAAAAACCTTTTATAAAAGTTATTCAACTGAAAAATTCTACTTGTAAGTGCATATTCCCCCCAGACTCCCTCCTGACAACAAACCTCCATGAAGAGTAAAAAAAAAAGCTACCTGACATGCATTTTAAAATATCCAAGAAAGTGATGGCAAAATCTTTTCCATTCTGGACTTTTTTTATTACCTAAAGCAGCAATTTCAACAGGTCTGTTGAGCCAGTGTTTTCTATTTCCTGCACAAAGACAGTAAAGTACAGTAGCAGTTCATATAAGTGCCTCTCAACATATACAAGGTAAGACAAAACAAGTCACCTCAGCTAACTTACCAGAGAGCACCACCTCAATAAGGTCTCCTTCATGGATGTCTTCTGCTGACGTCAGCCTCTGCAGGATGTTCTCGTCATTTAAGTCGTGGCGGAACAGCAGGATTTTGTCGTACATGCCGAAAAAGCCGCACTCTGGGAACTGGAGAGATGGGAAGATACAAAGTGAAGATGTAATGGAGTTAAGTAAAGCTATTAGCTAAGTTCCAAGCTCGATGACTAATGATAAAGAGTCATCTGTAAGCACAGTGTCAGACATTAACGATGAGAGCACTGTGGTGGGTCCACGTCTGATGCAGCTACAGGGACAGAGAAAAACAAAGACATGCAGATAAAACTCATTACTTTGACTTACATTCACCATCACTTCTATAATCAATCTCACAGGAATACATACAAGCACACTCACTTATGTCATTTCCAAAGGCTTACATCACCCTGAGTATGGGTAATAATATACTGTGAATGCAACCAATGACTCAAGAACATAGCTCTACATAGCGGACTCTATCTGTAGAATGTAAAGGAGGAAACACCCTCCCAGCAGTGTCTAGCTTCAGCGTACACACAATATTCAATGACAAGAATTTCTGTAGATTTCAACCGCTCACAATTATTAAACATAAATGGTGCCATTTGGACCTAAGATGGGAAAAAAATGTCATCAGTTTGGCAACATCACAAACAACGGCCGTACAAAAGTTGTATTTGAAAGTAGGCAACAGGTTTGTCTTCATTAGCGGGGTAATTTGGTTCGAAATGTCCTTCCGTTTTGATGGCTTTATGATTATCCAGGAAGAATGCAAACAGGTGCAGGACAAGAAATGTACTAACTGCAGAAAAAAAAGTTAAAAGGTCCGCACACTGTTCATTTCCAAAAGGGCAACCCCATCCAAACAGGGCAACACCTCATCAATTTGATTTTCAAATAAACAAATGCACTTTTTATTATGTGTCTGTAAGTCATTTTCTGATTTTACACAGACTTTAACTGTACAACAAACAGACAAAAGTGGCAGCATGAAGTCCTTCAGGATAGTTGACTGACATCCCACAGCAATGTGACTATTATGCATGTGCACATTGCATTTGCAATGGTAAAAAGATGTATCGTTCAGCCCTAGTTGAAGTCTTCATAATCTACAGAACGACCCACTGTCATAGGACAGTGGTTCCCAAAGTGGGGGTCGCGAGTCACCCAGAGGGGGATCACCAAATACCTTTAAAAAAACAAATTAAGATAATAATGATTTAAAGTAACATATTTTACCAATTAATGGTATGACTGTTTTTTTTTATTTTTACATTGCCAGTGTTTGTATAGGCCTCTGAGTGTGTGTGTGTGTGTGTGTGTGTGTGTGTGGTTGTGTAACATAACAAAGAGTAAGGTCTTTTATCTGTTTTTCTAAAGTGTCACGAGATAACGTTTGTTATGAACTGGTGCTATACAAATAAAGATTGATTGATAAATAAAGATTGGCTGTGCACAAACTTATACTGTATGCTTTAACCATTTCCAGGGACTGTTGGGGTCCCAAGTCTCTGTATGTCATCTTTATTCAGGGGGTCTCGTAAAGCTTGGGAACCCCTACATATCTCCTTTAAATTAAAAGCACAGCCACTGAAAATGGCTACACAACACACGTTTGGGCCCCGACCCACCAGATCAGAACTATGGCCTTTTAGGTTCCTCCAGTGAAGAGTAAAATATTTCCCATCACTACAAAAAAATAGTTTCATCAAGTCATAAAGCCCAGATTTATTTGACTTTATTTTAATGAATACAGACATATCTGGATGCAAAGATGAAGTAATCTTGTTAAACTACTACAAAGTCCCATCGCAGCCAAGAACCTCAACTCAGCTGTCACAGACGATGTTTGGGGACAAGCTGAACCTACACGGGCCAGGTCAGACTTTGAGCTTAGTGCACTGACATGAAGTCACATGATCAAGGAAGGGGGCTGTGAGAAGGGTGGTAGAGGGAGACTGAAAAGGAGGAGGTAAACATCCTGAGAGGAGCAGAGGAGAGTCAGTTCACAGGAAGTGCAGCGCCAGTTAATATTTAGTCACTTCCTGTTCCGACGGCAACCTAGAGCCTCTTAAAAGGGTGACAATCTTGACGCAATCAATGCAAACACAAACGATATATACATACGCCCACAAAGATGAACAAACAAAATGGAAATCCATCCAATGTTTTAAGCTCTCACTCTTGTTTTAAGAAGGTGACTCCACAGTATACAGTGCAACACTTTGTCAAACTGACAGTACTGAAGAAGCTGATTAGCAGTAGATGGAGTCTCATGTTATCCTTCATGGTTTGTATCAAAGGCAGATTTAGGACACAGAAGTTTTACACTCAGGATTGAGCTCAGTCTCAGTGCCAAGCAGGCTGGTACTGGAGGATCCACCAGCTGTTTCCCCCTGAACCAGGGTCACACACAATGGGTCACATAGAACAATGTTGCTACAGCCCAGGAGCACCAGAGTTGGCAAATCGTCTAGGCACGGGACACACAAGACACCTGGAGCTTTCCTACTGCCAAGAACCACAGATCCAGAGACACAGCAAGACAGATTGATGGCTCAGGAAAACATGGGTGTATCGGATGACTCGTGTCGCCAAAGCCAGAAGAATGATCTGCGAGAAGGCGAAAATGTAATTCTGCACAGAAACTGATTACTAGCTGAGGGCTGTTCCGGCCTTGAGGCAGCATTGCGGACTAGTGGTTGGCGAAAGACAATCCAAAAAAAGGATTGTCCCCATGTCCCCATGATCCCCCATGTCACCTCTCTGATCTGCCAATGGAAGAAACAATTTCCCAGGGATCAGAAAGCTACATCATAACACAAAGCATCACATGCTTTGCAAGGTTTGCAGAGATCACAATGTTTTCCTAGGAAGACCCGACAGGCACCGTGGGCTAAGAACAAAATTGGTGAACCGCCCTTAGGTCCATCAGTGCATCAGTGTTCCTTTGTGTGCAATAAGCCAATAGAAGCAAGGGATGCATAGTGAGTCACACTGGACCGAATCAGCAAGTAACCAGATCAGTTATCTGGGGGATGCACTGCTGTTCAGGACTCCTAAAGACACACAGTACTGATGAGCGGCACACTGCAGAGTAAGGTAATGAGAGTACCTGAATATTGAAATGACTTAAAATGACCTTTTTTCTGTCCTGGGTTAAAATGCATTGGCAACCTTTCTACAGTGCACATAGTGACTGGATAAAGTCTCTTTAATCTTATGAGATTTAAGCAGGTGCTTCACTTACCACTCTTAGTTAAAAGAACTGCATGCATGCAGGTCAATGTATGTGTGTGCATGTATTTGTCTACTGTCCACCAATGGATGACCTATTTGTTAAAATTGTTTTGGTAAGTGAATTTGAATTGGAAAAAGCTGCACACAGATCTGACATCTATAACCACAGAGGCATCGTCCATCATGTCATACATGAATTAATAATGCTAGGGGAGAGACTAGATGTAAGTAGGGGTGGGTAGCTCAGATACTTCACCCACGATACAGTAACAAACATGAAAAGGCGATTCTGAGACTTTCATGCAATGATACATCAGGATATCTAATTACCTGAAGAATATAAAATGCAGCTAAAAGGGTGAAGATTTAATGTGGGTTTTTTTTCACTGCAATTTACTGTCTGTTCTCATCTTGACTCCACCTTTTACTTTTTTGAATTTCTTTTAACTGCTTCTTGCTGTACTCTTCTTCTTTTATCCTGCTATTAACTTCTCCTTTGGACACTTTCCTTTGTTCTTGTCTACCTGCATTCATGTCATGAGCTCACCCTTGAAGAGTCATGAAGTAGTGATGCAGTCAGTCAAACTGGCAGGGAAATCTGTTTATAACCGCGTATTTCTTTTTATTACAATATCCATATTTGGAACTTACAATACAATAATCATAACACACAAGTCAGGACAACGATACAATGCCATATCAATATTTTGTCCCAACACTTGATTTAATCCTTAGGAAAAATTGAGGAATAAAGTTGTGTTTCTTTGTTTGTATGTTTCTGCCTAATAAGGTTATTTTGTGGCAATAATTTATGGTATAGATACATCCTCTCAATCAATACGTCACATAGGAGTCAACCATCAACCAATACTTGTATGGACAGCTTTTCAACTGCATTAAAACAACTGCCACACATGAGGCACTAATGTTTTGTGAGGCGCGTGCCAGTCTAATGGAACATTTCCAATTCGCCCCCTCCCTCTGACATAACGACATCCTAAACTCCGTCACCCTTTGAGGTGATTAATGTGACATGGATCAAACCAACACCACCACAGGCAGCGGGGGGCATCCTTCCTGCGCTGGGTGCAGTTTCAAAGTGAGGTTTTCCTCCACTTGCCTGCTTTGGAACCCTCCCGCACATACACATTGAAAATTATACGATGAAGTCCAAATCTAGCCAGCTGGAGTCACCTCCTCTTGGCAGGCCTGCTCAAACCTTTTCCACTGTACATACCGGGTCCCATTCCCGAGCAGCAGCATCTGCACGCCGGCACGCAAAGGCTGCAAGGGCAGAGGACACGTTTTTTTTTTTTTTCCTTGCCCCATTAAAGCAGCAGGAAGCCAGTGATACAATAACAATAGATTGGCAGGTTGAGAGCATATTTTAACAGTATGTTGTTCAGATCACACAGATTAAGTGATAATTGATGGCTAACCTGTGAGACCAGGCAGGCTTAAAGCAGAAATCTCAGCATACATGCAAGACAAAATAAACCTCCCCTGCACTCCTGTACACTTAATGCACCCTCACACACCACATCCCACACATGCTACTGCATACATCTCAGAAGCCCGTAGTGACTTAGCATGTCTTTTGTCATCTTCAAACGCAGATCCATTCAGCCGGGCAGCCCCGACCACACACGCACACCAAAGACCCCGGTGCCGAGGAGCTGTGTGTGAGGTCCACAAGTCAGACTGCAAAGACGAGTGGAAAGGGGCTTTGCAGTAGTAAGCTTTTGTTAAACGAACTAATCCGCCATTGATATGCTAAATCCTGTTATAAGGACAGAAAGTTGGAGGAAAGAGAGAAGGGGGGAAAGAGGAGGGAGATGATAGGGGTAGAAGGCCAGGGTGCGGGGCAGACC